AAAAAAAAGGAAAAGGGAAAAATTTAATCACTCACCTTACTAAATTTCTTACTTCATTGTAAAGTCGCCCATTTCTTGTGATGATAAAAGACTGTCTGGTAAAGCAGTAAATTAGGTTACGCACAGGTGGTCCAATAATTCATGATCTCAGCGTTAAAAAGTATCTCACCTCAGTAAATATAAAACTGTCAAATCTATTTCAGTATTTACACCTTATTAATACCAATGATGACGGAGCAGTACCACTGTAGTTCACATAGTTTAATTGTAATTATCTGAGCATACCTCAGTGAAATACCCGCTGTGAAATGTTAGCCCAGCATTGAAATTAGTTCACAGAATCTGCATATTGTCCAGGTGTATTATAGCGCTGGTATGTGAGATCTGTAACAGGTGTTTAAGTGAGTCGTGAAGAAGTTGTTTGAGGTATGAGATGAGAGGTATGCTGTTCAATCAGGGTATTTCAGCATATTTGGTAATTATTACCTGAATTACGCTAGATACCATAATCGCAAATTACTGTAATGTAAAAGGCTAAGCCTCCTTCAGCTAGTTTTACTGTACTAGTCTATAATAATAGATCACAGTTAGCAACTCAGAATCAAGATAATTGTATATTGGTCTATGGTAATCGCTCTTTAAATCGGAAGATTCTCTTTTATTGGTCACAATCCTGTATTCGAACGATGTATACCTAGGTAATATGTATGTATAGACTTATGATCCCTTTAGACTTTTAGAAATCATGGTATTTGTGGAAAGCATTATGTGTGCCTTCGATCTGATAGAGCAATACCTGAAATCATTATAAAACGAATCAACACATAATGACCAGTGTCCACTTTAATCTAAACTTCGTTTGCAGATTAATGAGAGCAATTCTAGATATCTGTGAACCCTTAACCAGTTCTGGGTAGCACAGCTGGAAGCACTACAATATGGCGTCATAGTGTAGGGTGCATGACGTCATAGTGTAGGGTACATGACGTCATAGTGCAGGGTACATGACGTCATAGTGCAGGGTGCATGACACGGTGGAGATACTGCTATCACGTAGCCATTACACTATTGTAACAGCTCTGAGAGGTTATCACCCTCCCTAATAGCCGCTCCATTATACCATTAAATGTCGCTATCTCATTACGAGTCGTGCCAAGAGGGCGATACCCATTACCCAAATACGATCTTCTTGAACTGACCACGGTGCTCTAATTTCTTTCCAGATAAACAGCTGCTTGAAATTATGTTGTCGGTAGATTAGAATTAGACAAATGTATTTCAGTCACATAATTCAGACAATTCTTGAATATAATTGAAAAATTACAGCGTTTGGCTGACTGTTATATTATGATTTATCGTTCTGGCTTCACGTTATCAGCCGAGGGGGGAGAGGGGTTTCCAAATGATTACACTAGTATGATTTGGACACAATAGCTATGTGTAAAACTGATTACGGAGGGGAGGCCAGGGGGGTTAAAAATTGTCCAAAACGTGGTCACTTTATATGAAAACGACCCCTTATTTAGGACTAAGTCTCTTCACAGACCATTTAGAGTCTTCCTTTAGGGACTTCATTTAGAGTCTTCCTTTAGGGACTTCATTTAGAGACTTCATTTAGAGACTTCATTTAGAGACTTCATTTAGAGACTTCATTTAGAGACTTCATTTAGAGACTTCATTTAGAGACTAGATGACTTTTCATATTAGATACAAATTATCAGCAGTATTGGTACATGGGGACTCACCAGATTGTAAGATTTTGCAGTAATAGATCGGGGGGGGGGGGGGGAGCAGCTATCGTAAACAAACCTGCGACTCCATTTGTATTCCCAGGGATTTATCAAAACAAGTAGATATTAAAATGCTAGTAGTTTTAACATATTAGCGTATCAACACATCAAGTGCATCCCGTTATGCAATATTGTAGAGTGGGGATTCAGTACCACATCAATCTGTAATATCTGTATTTTGAAAGAACATTATAGGTGTTATTTCGTTATATTTAGAAATCATCAATTTCTGTGGAAGAAAATCGCGTTCTTCGTCAATTATCAAATATCATATCAAAGCCTGACAAAGAACTGGAGTCTATTATGATAATATATATTACTTATACTTATAGGACAAAGTAATTTTATATCGGTACTTTAATTGCTGGGTAATTAATTGATTCTATTCGAAACACAATTGATCAATAATTTTTCGTTCATTAAAACACACAATGCCACAATCAAACCCTTTGAACGCAGTTTTGACTCACAATCTGCAGATAATGAAGAATATTAATTCACAAAACAATCAAACTAATAATAAACTAACAATCAAACGAAACAATTGGCTGAAAGTTGTTCAGATGTGTACCACATACATAATGACACTGACATAATGTGATTGTTTTATCGAGATAGATATATCATGATATAATATTATATGTCGGAATATTGATCACGTCGTAATTCACGACTCTTGTCACTAACATGTGCGATTCTGATAATATCTGCAGCTCGGTGGTGCACGTTTTTATAACTTTTGTAAATAAATAAAAGATATTAAGAGGTTCATTGATTGGCCCGTGAGAAATATTGTTCTGATCTGGACACGTGGGCTTATCAGCAGATCACGCAGGTCACGTGGGCTTATCTGCATGTCACGTGGACTTATCTGCAGGTATATTTGAAAGGTTTAGAACAACATCTAAGCTGCCGCGTTTATTACCCTCATTGTAAAGTAATAGGTGTATTGTATTCGATAATAAAGCAATCATTTAAATGCTGTTTTTCAAACGGTTTAATAACACATTAAAATTATTTCAGTTTTCAGAAGAAAATAACATAGCGGTGTTTGAAACTAGCGCGAAAACGAACAAGGGGATCGATGAGGTAATTATTGATCAATTCATTAAGTTTTAAAAAATGGAAAATGTTTTCTCATCAAGTGGTGGAATCTTAGAATAACAAGAAAGGAGCTGTGTCATTATGCCACTACTCCGTGCTACAATATTTAACTTTTTTCTTTGGCTTGATTATATTGCTCTATGAATAGATCTAATAGATGTACCCTTAAGCCTTACTAGGGAGTTCAAAAACCCCATTTGTTTCTAAAATATTACTGTACATTATATCCCTTTAATATTACATTATATCCCTTTAATATTACTTCAACTGGGTTGAACAGTTCTTTGAAAGTTTTGGCCTAAAATGTAAACTATGTCCCTTTACTTCTTTATGCTCTGTGGTTATTCGCACAATTGATTAAAAGATTAATGCCGCAACTTTGCAGTTTACACTCCTTATTGTACTTAACACCTCCTAAGCGTGTAACTTGTGTAGATTGGTCTACATTGTGTGGCTCACTACCAAGCAGTGCCACATAAAGTTTCAGCTTTAATAATAAGTAATGATATTGTCACAGAGATGCTGTCACACACACTGTCGCAGTGTGTGACGTGTCATTACACCCTGTCACGTGTCATTACACCCTATCACGTGTCATTACACCCTGTCACGTGTCATTACACCCTGTCACGTGGCATTACACCCTGTCACGTGTCATCACACAATGTCACGTGTCATTACACCCTGCCACGTGTCATTACACCCTGCCACGTATCATTACACCCTGTCACGTGTCATTACTTCGTTACACCCTGTCACGTGTCATTACACCCTGTCACGGTCCAAAAAAAACCTTTTTCCCCGGTTGGGGTTCTTTTTTAAAACCCTTTCCCCCCCGGGGGGTTTCATTCCCCTTTGGGGAAATTTTATCCCAAAACCCGGGCTTCTTTCCCCGGGTTAAATTTTCATCGTAAAAAATTTTCAGGCTTTAAAGGGGGGAATTTGGGCGGGCGGGGGGTTTTTTCCCAACAAAAAATAGGGCCCCGGGGGAAAAAAAAAAAAACCTGGGGGTTTAAATTTTTTTCCCTTTTTTTTTCTGGGAATGGAAAAAATTAAACTTTTTTGGCAATTTTTCCATTGAAAATTATCCCGGGGGCTAGGTTACCCCCAAAATCCCCTTTTTCCCCGGGGGGTTTTATTTTGGGTTTCCCTCCCTTTTTTAATTAGGGGGTTTTTTCCCCCCCCCATCTTTGCCCCCCATTTTTTTTCCCCTTTTTTTTTGGGAAATTCTGTGAAAAAATTTATTTTTTGGGGCCCCCGTATATTTGTGGGGAATTTTAAAAAAAAATTTTGGGTTTTTGGGTTTTTTTCGGGAATTTTTTTTTTAAAACTTTTTCAAAAACCCAAATTAAAAAAGGGGCCCAATTTTTAAAATTTTGGGAATTTTCCCTTTGTTTTTCAAAAAAAAATTTTTGGGGGGGGAAATTCATGTTTTTTTTTCCCGGGAAAAAAAAAAAAGTTTTTAAAAAATTTAATTTTAATTTTTTTAAAATTTTTCGGGGTCGTTTCCGGCAACAAAAAAAAAAACAAACCTTTGGGGGGGAATTGGCCCCGGGAAAAAAAGGAACCCAAGGGGTTTCGGGGTTTTTTTGCTTTTTTAACCCCAACCCTTGACTTTTCCCCCCCTTTTTCCCTCGGGGAAACCCCCCGGGGGTTTTTTTAAAGAGGGGTTCCCCCAAAGTTTTTTGGGGAAGGGGAATTTTTAACCCCGGGGAATTCAAACCCCTTGGGGGATGTAGGGGGGGGGGGCCCTTTGGGGGGGTTGGAAAGGTTTTTGGAAAGGTTTTCCCCAAAAAAAAATTTTGGGGGAAAATTTTTGTGGCCCCCATTTTTTAACCCGGGGATTCCTTTCCTTTACAAACCCATTTTTTTGGGGAATTAAAAATAAGGGCTTGATAAAAAGGGTTTTTTTCAAAAATTTGATTTAAAATTTTTTGGGGGGTTTTTCTTTTTAAAGGGGTTTTGGGGGTTCCAAAGGGAAGGGTTTCTTTCCCCAAAATTTTTTTGGGGTTGTTTTGGGGAAATATTTATTTTTTTTTTTATTTTTTTTTGGGGTTTTTGAAAAAATTTTTTACGGGTTTTTTTGGCCCCAATAGGGGGTTTTTTCTTTTTTAAGTGGGGGGTAAAAAAATTTTTTACATTCCCCAAAAGGCCGGGAAATTTCCCCCAACTTTAAGTTTTCCTTTTCCCTTTTTAAAAAATTTTAATTGGGGAATTTTGTTTTTAAATTTTTTTTGGGGGGGTTTTTTTAACTAAAAGGAAAAATTCCCGGAAAAAAAAAAAATTTCTTTTTTCGGATCAATTTTCACTTCATTTTTAAAAAATTTTTTAAAACCCTTTTTTTTTTTTTAAAAACCCCTTTAAGGGAATGGCGTTTTCCCTTTTTTAAAAAAAGGTTAAAAAAAACTATTTTTTTTAAAATTTAAAATCCTAAATTTTTTGGGAATTTGGTTTTTAAAGAAAGGTTTTAAAAATTTTTTTTTAATTTTTGGTTTTAAAATTCCTTGGGTTTTGGCTGGGGAAAACTGGGGTTAATTTCGGGCCGTTTGCCCCCAATTCGGGGGGGGGAAACCCCCCACCGGGGGGGGGGGGGCCCCCCCCCCGGGGGGGGCACCAAAATTTTTTTGGGGGGCCACCCCTTTGGGGGGAAACCCCTGGGGGCCAACAAACCCCCCCAAAACCTTTTGGGGCAAATTCGGGAAATGGTTTTTAAATTGGGAAAAAAAAACCCCGGGGGGAAAAAAAAACCGGGGGGGCCAAAAACTTTTCTGGGGGGGAAAAATTTTTTTGGGGGGCATTTTTTCTGGGGGCCCAAAAACCATTTTTCCGGGGCCCCCAACCCTTGGGGGGGGGGGAAAACCCCCTGGGGGCCCCCAAAACCCCCGGGGGGCCCCCAATTTTCCCGGGGGCCCACCCCCCGGGGGGCCCAATTTCTCGGGGAAAAAAAACCAACCGGGGGGGGGGCCCCGGTTTTCCTTTTTGGGGGGCCCCCCACCCTGGGGCCCCCATTTTTTGGGGGGGCCAAATTCTGGGGGGCCAAAAAAAAAAACCCCCCGGGGGGGAAAGGGGTCATTGGGGCCCAAATTAGGGAAATTATTTTTTTATTGAACTTTTTGGGTTTGTTTTAAATTTTTCCCCATTATTAAATTTTAAAAACCCTTTTTATAGGTTTATTTATATTTTTTTTTGTATTTTTATTTATTCAAAAAATATAAATAAAAAATTTAGGGGGAAGAAATTTTTAAATTTTTCGGGGGGGGGGGAAAACCAAAATTTAAAATTTCTATTTTTTTAAAACGAAAAAAAATTTAAAAAAAAAAACCCACGTTTGGGGGAAAAACTGTCCAAAACTGTTTTAATAAAATTTTTTTTCTTTAAAAAAACTGAAAAAAGGCCTTTATATTACAAAATTTTCCCAATTCGGGTATTTTCCCCAAAAATTTTAAAAAATTTTAACATTTTTTTCCCCCAAAAAAAAATTTTCTAGGGCATAAAAAACCTTGGGGGGGGCCCCGGGAAAAAAAATATTTTTCGGGAGGGGGGAAAGGGGGGCCCGGGGGGGGGGGCCCAGGGGGGTTTTCCCTTCCACCCCAGTTTGGAATCTTTAAAGGCGGGGGGCGTGTAGGGGGGCTGGGGGAGTTTTTTTTTTTCCTTTTCCCCCCGGGGCCGGGGTTTTTTTTCCCCCCCCTTTTGGGCCCCATTTTTGGGCCTTTGGGGCGGGGGGGAAAAAACCCCCCCCAATTGGGGCCCCTTCAAAATTTTTATTTTGGGTTAGGGGAAAAACCCCCCGGTTTTGGGGGGGGGGCCCGGGGGGGGGGGAACAAAAGGGGGCCCTTTTCCCTGGGGTTTTAAAGGGCCCAAGTGGGGGTTTTTGGGGCCCTTTGGGGGTCGGGGGGGGCCTTTTTTTTTAAACCCCCCCCCCACTTTGGGGTTTAAAGGGGTTTAAATTGGGTTCCCGGGGGAAGCCAAACGTTTTGTTTGGGATTAGGGAAGGAAGGGAAAGGGTGTGGGGGTTTCCCGTTTTTTTTGGTTCTTTTTGGCCCCTTCCCCCAAGGGGAAAGGCTTTCCCGCCGGTAGTTTTTGAGAAAGCCTCCAAAAGGGTTTCCCCTTTTCCCCCGACCCAAAATTTTGGGTTGGGGTCCCCGGTGGGTCCCTTTGGGGGTTTTGGGGCCGGGGAAACTTGGGGGGATTTTCGTCGATTTCCCCCCGAGGTTGGGGCCCGCCTTTTTCCTCCAATTTTCCCTCTTTTTGGGCCCCCCGTTTTTTCGGGGAAAGGGGTTTCCTCCCCCCCTTTTCCCCAATTTTCGAAAGCTTTGAAAAAGGGATCCCCCCAACTTTTTTTTTTCCCCTTTTTTTCTTTTGGGGGAAACGGGGGTTTTTCTGGGCTGTTTTCCCCCCAACCCCGTTTGGGGAAACCGTTGGGGGAAAAACCCAAAAAATTTTAGGGGGGGGAAAAGGAATTTTGGGGTTTTAAAAGGAAAATTTGGGTTGGCGGTTGTGGGAAGGGGCCCCACTTTCCTGCTCGGGGCCCAGGGGAGGTTTTTGCGGGCCCGGGGCCCGGGGGGAACGGGGGGCCCAAAAATTTAACCCAAACCCGTTTGTTTACTTTTGTGGGGGGGGCCCGCAGGAATCTTTTAGTTTCCATTTTTGGGGTTTTGTGGCCCCCCCCTTGGGACCCAAAAAAAAGGGTTTTGGGGGGAACCTTTTGGGGGGTTTTCCCCAAAATCGGGGGGCCATTTATGAAAGGGGTTTTGGGCTTTCTGAAGGGGGAAGGGGGGATTTTTCCCGGGTTTTTTTTTCGGGAAGATTTTTTTCGTAGGGGGGGGGAAAAGTTGAAAAAACCCAAATACCGGGAATTGGATAGTTTAGCTTTTTTTTGCTCATTTTAATTATAAAATCTGGGACGGGGGAAATTTTTTGGGCCCTTGCTTTTTGGGGGGGGGGGGGGGACTTTTTCACGGGAAAAAAAATTTCCCCTTTTTTTTTGGGGGCCCCCCAAAATTGGGAAAAGGGATTTTTGTTTTTTTCTTTTTAAACCGGGGGTCCCCCAAAAAACTAGATCAAAACCATTTTTCCTTTTACCCCCCCCCACATTTCGATGGGGGGGGCCCGGAAGGGAAATTTTGGGGGAAATTTTTTGGGGCCAAAAAGGGGGGGCCCCCGT